TTCTCACGTAATTGTCTGCTGTTCACCTCATTAATTATGTATCCTGACTCCACGGCATGGCTTTCACACACAATCTATCCAGAATCATGCTTGAGAGCATGAGTTGAGGGTTTCGCCTGTTTTTCTAGGTTACCACTACCACCATCCCCGCAAAACAACCTTCATGTACCTTTCTGCATTGTAGTCCCTGTCGACCCTATTTGCTTTGATCCTCTCCACATTTCCACCCAACACTTTTACTTAAGTACTAACCTCCCCAATTTAGCCCTGAACCCCAGGCTTATTCCATAGCCATGCTGGAAATAGTGATCCACTGTCAACCTCTTCAAAGACAGGGTGGTGGTGACTGGTGATAACTCCCCACTGCTACAGTACCCAAACCCCTTCTATAAAATATTGATTCCCACCCTTGTAGCTGGAGCTGCCCTCTGCCCTCTCCCCCTACCCCAACTCACAGTGATTACTATCTCTGCATTCCAGATCAGTGGCTCCAATCTCCACACTTCATAGCTACAATTACCCCAACACAACACTGCCTCCTGATGACCCCTCTCCCCCCACTCCCCAACCCCCCATTCTCCCGCTGATGTTTAGTACCTAAGGCCTCAGGTCTAACCAAGGCCCGCAACCCAATCTACTTGGGGAGTCAGTCCCCGCTGATCTTGTCCTAGCTCCTTGAATGATTTCAGTGCAGCTTCCTGGTACACACCAGTAATCTCCAAGGTGGTTGAACTGGACCTGGAGTACTGACTGTAGTCCAATGCCTAGACTGTAAAGACAACATCTCCTTATCCTAATCACACTAACTAGCTGACTGATGCTGGCCAACCCCCTGGGCTGAGGTAGGATGATGCCCTTGGCTAACTGTGGCAATACCCCTAAATAACCATACTGTCCCTTGACCAGACTAAGGCTTATTTCCCTTAGACTTTCAGACAAGGCCAATTTGTTGAAGCACATGTAGTGTGTTCACTGTGTAAGCAGCTGGCACTTGCTGTAAATGCGGCATTGACATAACACAGTGCCATACAGCAACATGTCTGTCCCTTTGACCATGCAACGCTGGCAAACAAGCTGCCTTGCTTTCTGACTGCACTAAAAGGTAAGGTGAGACAGAACTACTGTGAGCCTGTAAATTGTGGATGAAGCTGCAAGGCAAGGCAGAGATGTTGTGAGTGTCCGAGAGAGCATATAGCAAGTACATGCTAAGACTGCAAGCTATAAGCCTGAAGATGCACTCTGTTCTGAAGCATAAGATGTGTTCTGCCCCCGTGCGCAAGCCTGAGATGTCCCACAATGATGTGGTTAGGCTGATGTTTTACCGACGCTGATGTCCATGGATAGGGGGTATAGGTGTTCACTGTCCATGGAGTTTGCCCTGAGATATTGGGGAATGTTGGCCAGGGTAGGTGCTGGAGAAGATGCTGGCAGGTTGCAGCCACCAGGCAAGTGCCCTGACTTTCAAGTCAGGAATAGGTACTGTCTTGTTTCTTACCAATACCTGGAAGAATAGCTGCATACAAATGAGGCAAGGTTACCTAAAAGTGAGATGTTAATGCATTCGAATAGTGCCCTTGCTGCTAACTAGAGAGATTATCATCTAGTCTTTGAAACTTTATGACTCCAGTGTGTCAAAAGCCCAAAGGAGGTCTAATGGATAAATAAATGTCAATGCAGATTTACTAGAGGCAAATTGCATTTGACTAATTTGATCAAATCGTATGGTCACACAGTTGGTGTGTAAATACATTTTTAAAAGGCATTTGACATAATAGACTTATTAGCTAATTTTAAACCATGGTAAGGAACGACCAGCACAGTCACAGAACCTGCAAGGGACAGAAAATAGAGTGTAGCGGCAAACTGTTCATTTTTCAGACTTTCCTTTTCCATTGCTATTTCTTTCGCTGATTGGAGCAGAATAGATAATGGTGCTCCTCAGGTATTGGCTTTAGGAATTCTGCACTTTTGATGAATAATAATAATAATTTGGACTTGGGCATATTTTCAATATTTTCAGATTTAACAAAACTCATAGTAATCAATGATAACTGACATCAGGGATACAGGGGGACTAATTAAATGACTAGTCACAAGTAGCTGAAATTCAACACAGGAAGTGTGAAGTGATCCATTATGGTAGGAAAAGTAAGGAGATGCATTTTAAAAAATATACAGTTGGGGTGCGGGGGAAAAGGGACCTGAGGATAAGTACACAAACCACTACTAGCAGCAGGGTAGGCCAAGAAAGTAGTTCATAAAGCAAGTAGAATTCTAGGCTTTATAAATGGAGGCATAGAGTACAAAAAGAAGGAAGTTTTGCTAAATCAGTAGGAAATACTGGCTTTGCCACAACTGGTATATTGTTTCCAGTTCTGGATATCATGGTTTATCAAGGATGGGAACCTATTAAACAGTGCATAGAAAAGATTCACCAGAATGGTTACAGCATGAGAAACTTCAGCTACATTCATAGATTGGCAAAGTTTCTTCAGTTTTTACTTTAATTATGTCAATTTCTCAGCCTAATATCTGTGTGCTATAGTGTGTGTAGCGCGAGGCAAACAAGCATGACCTGTGAGATCATTGTTCTGATAATGACATAATGATAATGCTTCTATGTAATATGGCCACTAGGGCACCTCTGTATTTTGTTCTCTAGTATTATCCAACACCTGCAGAAGAAGGCAAGCATTGCTCCTCCCTATTTCCTAATTTCTACTTCTGCTCGTACACAACCGTAGGAGTAATCAAGTAATTGCTACTTTTTGCGATCCTGCTTATTAACATTCTCCCCAGCTTCTGAAAATCTGAGCATAGGACTTCTGTACCTGCCCTGTCTATGTTATTTACCGAGGTGTACTACATCTTCTGGCTCACTGTCATTCCTCCGCTATATAAATGCAAGCTGCTCTCCTTTAGTAGCATGGTTTGAAGGAATTTTCAGTAGACACATGAGAACTGTAACTACAGTGCTTGGAAACAAAAATAGAAATTGCAGGAAAAGCTCAGCGGGTCTGGCAGCATCTGTGGAAAGAAAGCAGAATTATCGTTCGGGTCCAATGTCCCTTTACAGAACCCTTTGGGTTACTGGACCTGAAATTTAACTCTGCTCTCTCTCCACAGATGCTGCCAGACCTTCTGAGTTTTCCCAGCAATTTCTATATTTTTTTTCGGATTTTCAGTATCAGCAGTTTTTTTTTGTTAACTACAGTACTCGGCATTGGACCTGGGAATTACAATACTGTCTCCATGGATCCACACAATTTGGCTCACCGTGATGGCTACAGAAATATTCCAAACTGTAGAATCTGCTACAATGACTGCTTTCTACTCTTTGCTGTTCCCTCCTGCGCAGTCCATTGTGTCCATAGTGTGGACAGCACTTCTTCAAGATTTTGTCACTCCCAGGTGTCTCCAAAGTTCATCTCTGATAGCAGATATGAGTGGACTGTCATATGAGGAGAGGTTGAGTAGATTGGGACTGTACTCATTGGAATATAGAAGAATGAAAAATAACTATTGAAAGATACAAGATTCTTAGAGCATTGACGGGGTAGACGTGCAGGGGTTGTTTCCCTTTGTGGGAGAGTCTAGGACTGGAAGGCATAAACTCAGAATAATGGGTCACACATTTAAAACCCAGATGATGGGGTTGTGAATCTGCGGAATTCATTACCACAGAGTGCTATTGGGGCTGGTTCATTCAGCATATTCAAGGCTGAGATAGATTTTCAATCAGTAAGGAAATCAAGGGTTATGGGGTAAAGTCATGAAAATGGAGTTGAGGATTATCAGATCAGCCATGAACTCACTGAATGGTGGAACAGGCTTGAGGAGCTGAATGGCCTACGTCTGCTAGGACATATGGTCTATGAAAAGCTTTTCAATGGAAATAAATTAGAATTGATCTTGAAAATTTCAAGAGATGGAGTTGTGATTATTTCATTTAGCAGCTTGTTCCAATATGGAATTGTACTAAGAAAGAAAAACAGTTGATACACTTATTTAAAAACAAATTATCTTTGCAAGTATCCATGTGAATGGCTATTTTGTATTTTGTCAAATTGCTGGAGTGTGCCAGGTACTTCGTTCTGATGTTTCTCACTATATATTTTGGAACTTATTTTGTAGAACATGGTAAACCTATTTTCTTCCTCTCAATCTTTGATTAACAATATGACGTTGGTATATTTCCCATACTGATTTGTGATGAATTGTGCAAAATGTCTTCAATTTTATTTATACCTCTTAGCAAATTAAGGATCCCACACACATACTGGGTACACCCATGGTAAGCTATAAATTTAATATTTTGTCACAACACCAAATATTCCTTTTCAGAAATTCAAGAGCTCTAGTTTGGATGTTAGGTGCTGAATGTGGAATTCCCTTTGCGAATTGTGTTTTAAGATGAACTCCAATGTATAGTTGCGTGTCTATCTGTTGGCGAATTTGATTACAGAACTTAAAGCAATCTATTGTTCCGTCCTTTTTGTTGTCAAAGCATTTGACGTAATTTTTTGGCATTGAACGCCATCTCTCATTAAGTTCTGCCAATTTTGCAATTCCAGGAGATCATCTTGCAGTGGATGATATGTTCTTGTGTTTTCCCTGGTGCGTAAAGCATGCAGTCATCTGCAAATAGCAGCGCTGTGTTTAAGTTATTGGGAAGGTCATTTATGTATGGAGTTGTTTTCCTTGGAGAAGAGAAGATCAAAAGGCGATTTCACTGAGGTTTTCCAAAATCGAGTAATGTGACTTTCTGTGACACATTTATAGGTATGAAGAGCAAGTAGGCTGCCATTCGGCCCCTCGAGCCGGGGTCTGCATTTTTTTTCGCGGAATATCAAATGCTCAAAGCCATCAACCCCAGGGGAAACGCCGAAAGTGGCTAACCGTGAGACCCTGCCCGAAGGAGTCTTCCGGGGCGGCAGGTGGCGCTGCAGCAGGAGGACCGCGGAAGTTTGGCCTGCCCTGATCTGAAGGGGGAGGGGTTGGGTTTGGGGAATGAGGCGAGTGCGCGGGCGGGCGACGCTGGGTTTCCGCTGCGGCCCATGTGAGCGGATCGGCCATTGTGTGTCTGTGAGAGAGGGAGGCAGGAAGGGAACGAGCGAGGCAGGCCGGGACCGGAGCCAAATCGTTCGGACGGGTTTCTTGAAATAAGGCCCTTCCTCACCAGCGGCAGAGAGGATTGAGTACCTCAACTCCCGGGATCCTGTCCGTGCGCTCGCTCGGTCGGTCGGAGAGAGGAAAAAAATATATTTATTAAATCCTCAGCCGCGCGGCGCCCTCCCGCAGCCAGTTCAGTCAGCGCGCTGTGCAGGCCGCTGGAGCCCAGCCCACAGCCTCGGGGCCCGCGTACCTCACTCTTTAACCCCCTCCCTTCCCACCCTTCCCCTTCCCCCACCCCTCCCCCCGGCCTCGGTTCATGAAGAAATGTCGGCCACCAGCGTCCTGGACCAGGTAAGGATATAAAACCTACTATCTCCTTTTCTCTGCACCACCCACCGGTGAATCAGACCGCGGGGGTGGTTTGTAGATCCGCCGCCCCCCCCCCCCCCCCCCGCCCCCCCCCCCCTCCCCTAAGGCCGCAGCCTCGGCACTCGATTAATGTTTTTTCCCCTTTTTTTCCCCCTCCCCCCACCTCCTCCCTCCGTTCTTCTCTCCCTCGTCCGCCCGGAAACCGGCTGGTCCAGAGACCGAAAGGCCAAGGAAATAAAGGTAAGAAAGTGTGTGGCCGCCTCTCGCTGTAGTCTCGGCTAGTCGTGTGTGTTTTATTTTAAAATGGTGGCCAGCTCGCAGGAGGTGCTGGTGCGGGCACTTTACTCAACTAATTCCTCCTGATCGATTTGTATCGGCGATCGGGAAGGTTCGTGTGTTTGAGAAAAGGAAGCGGCACAGGCCTCAAAGCCTAGACCTCCAGTCAGACTAAGTAGCCAATGTATGAGTTTTAACGGCCTCAACACTCACACTCATTTTCTTTCTTTCTTTCTTTCTTTCTTTCTTCCCACCGTTTGCAAATTTAGAGGGCGGGGGGTGGTTGGGGGGAAGGAGAATTTTGTGAGGTGAGCTTAATTATTTATAAAGAGCCCTGATATAAAATACACGTTACCCCATGAACAGGAAGAATGACTAATGCATTTCATTGGTATCTTCATTATAATTTTTTTCAGCAAAGAAATTATGGTTGTAACTACTTTTGGATGATTCAGGTTTTGAAAACATATTCATTTAACACTGAGGATTTAAGAAGAATTGTACGAATTGTATTTGCATGACACTCCCTTAATTGGGGGCGGGGAGAACATTTCACAATTTTTTTGTTGAATGAGTTTAATGTGTTGCAACCAAGTCTCTATAGCGTGTTTGTTAATTAAAAAGATTGCCCGATATGTAAATTCATTTAAACTTTCCATGATTATGAAAGACCTGTTACATTTTTGTCATTCTCTCAAGTTTGTATTGAATTTTTGTGGAGTTCAGTTGTGAAAAATTCATGAATTGTTGTTACATTAGTAAATAACTAGGTTTGTTGTAGATTGAAAAACAAATTGCTTGGAAGAAATATCAGGTCTGGCAGCACGTGTGGGGAGAAATCAAGAGTTAATGTTTTGGGTCAAGTGACCATTCTTCAGAACTATAGATGAGTTGGCCAATTATTCTTGCTTTGGTGCTGCCTTCTGCTAGGTCCTGGAACTACCCTTCTTTGGTTTCGCTTACGTTACAAGTTTCCCATTTTCAGCTTTTGTTTTCACTTTTTGCCACAAGCTCGTTTACATCAACTTGAGATGTGAACCATTTTGTATCACTGGAAAGATAAACACCACTGTGTTACATTTTTAGTGACGTTGCTACCCATGTTCATCATAGATGTGTACCTCCCAAACCTGTCCCTGATATGGAATGTTTGTTTGAGATATGATCTTCTGCCGTGTAGCATGTGCCTTCCCATCTCAACTTCATTACTTGAGTACTAAATCACCTCTCAGACAATTTACAACACTCTTGGAGACCATTCCTAAAACAACCATGTTTTGCTGTACCAAAATGCTAACTGGTCATAAGCCTTGAGCATACGGTTAAAATGTCTAATAACGAAGGAATGTATAAATATAGAAGCAAATCTTGTAAGGGCCACAACTCATACAGTGAATTAAAATAAAAGGCCTTTTAGATTGATCATGCCACATTCTTCAATTAATGATATCAAGTCTAAGGAAAGATCCTTCTGGATTTTCTGATAGCTTTGCTGTTTGAACTATAAACACATGGCCAGCAGATTTACAAATACTTCTGTTGGTCTACATTTATGTTTGTAAAAGCATGTGGGTCATTTCTCACAATGTTTGCTGCAGGGCCTTTTGGATTCATTGGCTTATTGAAAAAGAATATTTTCATTCCCAATTAAAATGATGTCTTAACTTGGTCAGAATTTATAATGTTCTCTGCCTGAATATGTCTTAGATATGAACTAACTTTTAAAACTTGTTTTCTCTAGCTTTCTAGTTTGTTTTTTCACCCTTCCTCCTGAGCAAAAAAAAACTTTACTTTCTATGAGATTCTGACTCATTAGGATAAAATTCCAGTTGGCTATCCCTCAAGTGTGAATCTAGGATTTTTTTTGTCAAGTTGTTCAACTGGGAAAGCCATCACAACCAAATGAAATCTGGATATAGTTGATGTTCAAACTGAGCGTTTTCCAACAGGAGTGTCATTGAATAGTGATCAGGAGCATTGTTCAGAAATCCTGACTGATTGAACCCTTTGTAGCCCAAGATTGCTGAGGCAAATTGTAGATTCTCTCATTAGTGTTCAAGCAGAGGTTGGGTAATTTAGTCCAGATTAGAACTTTTAGATGTCTGACTAAGCACTACACAGTGCGATTATCAGCTGACCAATTACAAAATTTTACTTATTGTATTTCTTCATTAAAGACTGGTGATCTGTTGTATGTAATAGCGCCCTCTATTTTACTTCACCCACTATATTTACTTGAAGAGGTAGTTGAGGCACTTATTCCTTTAAGATGCCCCAGTTTGTTCCTGAGAAATGCCCAGTTAATGAAAACATAAAATGAAAAAGCCAAACTGCTATTCTTAGGCCCTGAGTTTATCTAGGCAGGAATGTTGTATCTTTGAGTGCCTGCAGCACGTGCTTGTCTGACCTATTGAGTAAATATACTGCACGGTGAGCCAGTGAGTCATGCTGACTGGACTCTTGGTTGGAAGTGCAGGAGTAGGTGTCTACTGCAGATTGGAGTGGGATTATCTGATTCTCTACTTGCTGACAATTGCCTCCTAGACTTCAGACTTCATGAGAGGATGTAATTGGAAGGGAAGCAAGAGAGTGAATTTTTTTGTTTGTTTAATTCTGTGTAAGCTCATGTTTTCCAGATCTAACTTATGTTGGTTGTCTAATATTTCCAATTTTTATTCAATCTTTTCCCCCTCCAATTCTGTTATAGTACAAAATGGAGCTGTTCATCAAAAGGATGCACTAAATGACGATGACTTTGAGCCTTATTTGAGCACTCAGACCAGGCAGGTAAGTGTGTAAGAATTTTATTAGTGATTTATGAGCTGGGAGTTGAGGTATTTGGATGATATTTCATTGATTTTATGAATATGATACATTGGAGATTGTGATGAGTGAAGTGGGAGTTCTGAATCGTAGAATAAAGTTGGCAATGCCTTGCCAAGTATGGTGAAATTAATTTGTCGGCCGGTTTCCTCGGTTAGGTGGAAATTTGTCAGTATGAATTAAAACAAATTTTCTTTCTTTTTGCGATTTTGCTCTTGATTCATTCCTTTCAGGGTAGAAGGATTTGCTGTGTCTAGCCATTATCATTGTTCGTGGATGTTTTTGTTGAAGGTATTATATGTAGCTGTGTTGTAGGCTTTTGCCTTTTTCTGTTAATATTTCAGTTCACAGCCCAATTCCAGTTCATTTCCACAATTGGGAACTTTATTTTCTGGGAACCTGAAGAGCAGACAAGGTACATACACTAGATTAAGATTTAGAAACAGGAACTGTTTTCCATAGAACACCACTCAATTTTCTCAAGTATTTTCTTCAATTCTTTGCCTTCCCTCTCAGAGATGGTGACCGGTGCAGGATTGCAATTTCAATTATATCCATCGTTTTTAATTTGGGAATCTTGGCATTGTTTGATGACAGGCTATTCACCTCTCCATCTCTCCACTTTAAACTTCTTATAACCTATTTTTTAAAGTTTGCATTAAAGGCACTTTATATTGGAAATTGTTGCTAACAAATATCACAACTGACCCTGAGTTTCTTTTTGAAACCCATGCATCTACTTGCTAGCACAACTCCCTGGTTATTGTTTGCAATTTGGAGATTCTAGCTGATTTCCAAAAGTAGGGATTCTTAGGTCAGTTATTATTCCTGAGTGAAGGACACTAATAGGGTCAAATCATGTCCTTCATCTGTTTGCTCTGATACCAGAATAACACAAGACTTTCTCTCATAACCTGCTGCAAAATAGTTTGTCATATCAAATTAATATACTGTAAACAAATTGCAAAGTTAGATCATTCACAAGGTCATTATATTAATTAGCGACCTTAGTATTTGTGACATCTTAACATTTCACGAGTATGTATATTCTTTGCATCCAGTTCATTCTGAAATGAATTCACTTGTGCATGCATATGCAATGATCAATTTACACCGTGCAAAATCCGATAAAAGGCAAAAGAAAAAACAGACTGGTAGAATTGCTAGTTGAGGGAAGATGACTACCAAAGTTATTCGAGGACTACTTTGTAAGTGCTACGGTGGAATTTTTAAAAAAATCCTTTTGAACAGGAACGTGTGGCCTTGATTTAATGCTTAAACTCAGACAGCATCTCGAGCAATGCAGCATTCCTTCACTACAGCACTGAGTGAGCACCTTAGATTATCCCCCTGAAAGAGTGTTGTCCATGTTTTCCTGATCAAGTACAAGTACTAGTAATGGAGTCAAGCTGTTTGGGGATAAATACTTCAGATTTTCTCAAAGTTTGTATTAAGCCTTCATGCAACAGTTGTTTGTACATCATCCCGCATCTAAGTCTACCTTCCAGTAGTTTATTGATAAGTTGAAAGTTTCCCATTTGATTAGAAGTTAGGCTGAAATCTAGAGTATAAGAACCCATGTTTACACAGCGATATTGTATGTAATCTCTTGATGTTAATTCTATGATTTTTCTCTTGCTGAAGCGCATTTAACTTTGGCTTTGGGGAGTTCAGTACCTGTGATTTATCTAAAAAAAATTCTGCTATCTATCCCTCTTCATGAATTTCCTCTAATTATTTGTTTGCTCAGAGGGAGAGTTAGACTGTCTAGAGGGTGGAAGCATCAGGGACCTAATCAGACATTGAGTTGTGAAAAAATACTGTTGCGGTTAGCCTCTATAATTGTATCTCTAGAAATCAATGACTAGCAGGGTGAGAAATAATAACTGTCATTATTGGATGGGATTATTCATACTTTATTGTTGTAACTATTTTGAAATCTCTCCTGTGGAGAACTAACTTTGGTTTGTCAGTCTGTGATACATCAGTGTGTATAAAGATCTAAATATATTTTGAACCCAGATGTATCAAATGTCGTCTTCAAATTGTTTGAGACAGGCTATTAAGATTGTAGTTACTTAGAATGAGAAGAATTAAAATACAAGCAAAGGGCAAGAAAGGTGGTTGATCTTAGGATGGAAGTTATTTACCTATATTTCAAAGAGCTTTGATTTTTGAGGCTGAGCTAGATACCTTTGAGGGTACATTTCAGCAAACTGTTTTATTCTAAAATGTTTTCTGAAAGCTCCCCAATAGGTTAGACAGTATTTTGCCATTTAGGCCACAATAAACTTCCAACACTGGGACTGTACTGAGCTGATTTTATCCAGATTTTGTACAGCCTGACATGTACCCAGATAATTCCATTTAGTGATGATAAATGTCCGATTACCATGTCTTGTACTTGTATTCTTGCAACAATTTTGGAGACAAACTTCTTTTAAAAACAAAAGGAAAGTTGACCACTTATGCCTTGCTCCGTCTACATTAATGGATTGCCATTTGTTCTTAAAAACACAGCTACCTTGCTGTATTTTCCTTCTGACCAAACCTATTCTTGCAGTGTTTTGTTTAAGTCTTGCCTGAAGTAGTTGTCGGGTCCAGCAAAGGCTGCAAACTTAAGGTCGGGTGTTCCTGCCCCTTGGAGAAAATTGTTTTGGTTTCTGACCACTGTCATATTGCTCGTCGACCTACTACCATCTTTTCTATTCTACACCAGACTCCCAAACCCCAAAAAACCTACTTTATGCAAAGCTTAGCAGAATATTCCATCCCGAACAAGTGAATACTTTCTCAGTGCACCTGAGGTGAGATCATGATAGCACTCATACTAAGGAGCAATCTGGCTTGAATACATGTTCTCGAAATGTGCACATTCACTTTTTAAAAAAGGCATTTCAAAGTTGAGTCTTAAAATCCTTTCCACTAAGGAAAAGGATCAAAAAGTCTGAAAACATGACACTGGCATAATGTCCGTTTATGTTGGCTGCTATTTGTCAAATATCCTAATCATTGTATCACTTACTCCAAATTGTCTATGCTATCACTGGTCTAGTTGCCTGCAAATTTGCATGGGATGGCTTTTCTAGTCATTTTTTAGTGCCGTGGTCATTTTTAAATGCCTGGGTGAAATTGGGGAAATCCCAGATCCCCTTCCCAGGCAGTTACCTTGGATTAGATAGGATACGATAGAAAGCCATACTAAATAAAGCTAAGTTTGCATGAGTAATTTCCCTTCCTGACTGTCTGACGTTTTATTTAGTTGGAAATTGATCGTACTGTTCAATTTGGTGTTCGCAATTGCAATGCTCAAGCATTTCCTCCTTCAAATAAAACAACAGTTCTTCATTCTGTTCTGTGAGTAAGTGCTGCAACTGTTGGCCACCTTTTGAGTTATCAACTTTACAAATGAATGCCTAATGGAAGTTGTGTCCGCAGGAATCAATGGAAGAGTTGTGCCATGTCTCCATTACAGTCTTGTAATTAGAATGTAGAATAATTGTGCATATAGTTTGAGCTTCAGTCTGAACAAAGGATACATTTATGCACTTCCGTAGAGACGTTCAAGGCCAAATTACTTCGCAGAATTATAAAACCACTTGATCAAGCGAAATCGTTTAAAGCTATTTATTTTAAAAAAAGATTCTTTATAATTAGATGAAGTTTTGTTGCATTGGTTTTGTTAACCCATTCATTGTGAAGTGATTTATTTTAACCTTTTGCAACACTTGTGCTTTTTGTTTCTCTTTTTTTCTTGAAATGAGTCAAGTTTGTGTGATATGAACAGAAGTGAAAGAATTTTACATTTTTAAGCAGTGTTGTACTTTTCTAGGTGAGGCATATTGGTACCAAGTAAGGGAAGTCATTCCCTCGAGAACTTTAAATAGCATCTTTTAGTTAAAAGTCCTGAGGTTCTTTCATAGGATTGTTGTAAAAGAAAAAATGGCACTTAACTACATGAGCTATTGGAACAGGTGACCAAAAGCTTGATCATGGAGCTAGTTTTTAAGGAATGTTTTAAAGGAGACGAGCAAGCTGAAGATATTCTTCTTGGGTTCAGATTGATGACACTGATAATGAGAAATTTGGGATGGTAAATTAGATATGTTTATGGTCTTTAGTATTAAAGATTTAAGCATGCAAATGATTTCCTTGCATTGAGCTCCCAACATCAAGTTTTGCTTGAGAAGGCAAGTAATTTGGGAGATCATTGGGAAGGAGTAGCTTTGGAATCCTTAACCCTTCGGTTACAGCATTAGTGTGGAAACTTTGGGAAATTTAAGGAAGAGTAACCCAAGAATCCACTCTTTTTTTTGCCAACTTATGCAAGGTATAAATTTCTCATTGTTTTGTATTTTAGTTTCAAAATTTGTTGTTTTAAGCCAAAAAAATGTACTAGTGAATGTAATGCCAGATGGTATCTTTATCAGGATTAAGTTTTATCCTTGGGGCCTGACTGCACCCACTGTATAGCCCAAAGATTCCTGGGGAGTTTTTCTACATTCCTTGCAGTGTTGATGGTTAAATGCATATGCATGCACACTTATTTTAAAATGTGTTATAGAAATTCACGCAACAGTGCTGAGCACTTGCATTCTGGTAGCAGTGTGACTGAAGTTTTGGAATTAAATGAGACTTTAATTAGATTCTTTATGGTTCCTTATTCTTTATGCAGTGTTGCTTATTGAATGTTTTTATTTTGTTTTAACAGAACAATACCTACACTGCCATGTCTGATTCCTACCTGCCAAGTTACTATAGTCCATCTATAGGGTTTCAGTATTCATTAAGCGAGGCTGCCTGGTCAACAGGAGGAGATCCACCTATGCCCTATCTGACGTCATATGGACAACTGAGTAACGGAGAGCATCACTTTCTACCTGATGCAATGTTTGGACAGCCAGGAACTTTGGGGAACACTCCTTTCCTGAGCCAGCATGGGTTTAACTTCTTTCCTAGTGGCGTGGACTTCTCAGCTTGGGGGACCAGCAGTTCTCAGGGACAGTCCACTCAGAGCTCAGGATATAGCCCCAGCAGCTATGCTTACCCTCCCAGCTCTCTGGGCGGAGCTATGATGGATGGACAATCAGCTTTTACGAATGAGACACTGAATAAAGCACCGGGTATGAATAGCATTGACCAAGGTATGGCAGGACTGAAGATAAGTGGTGGTGAGGTTGTGAGTAACGTATCTAAAATGGTAGGTTCTGCTGTTGGGAGTAATCCTACGTCGACTATTTCAAGTAATGCAATACCTTCTAATCCCATGCCACCAACTACTATTGCACCCCCGAAGCCAACTTCATGGGCAGACATTGCAAGCAAGCCAGCAAAACCCCAACCCAAGAAGGCAAAAGGTGGGGCTGCTGGACCATCCCTTCCACCACCTCCAATTAAACATAATATGGATATTGGTACCTGGGATAACAAGGCAAATGTGGCCAAAAGCACTCCTCCACCATCGACTCAAACAAACAGCCAGCAGCAAGGCCAGCCACCTCCCCTGCCAGTGAACCAACAGGTGATGAATATGCAAGCACAGCAGGTTTCCTCAGGCCAACAGCAGCAGGTGCCGCCACAGCCAGTGCAACAGCAACCACAACCAAACCGCTGGGTTGCACCTCGCAACCGGGCAGCTGGATTTGGCCAAAACGGAGTGGATGCTGGAGGCATTGGACTGTCACATGGGAATTCAAATTCCACTTCTGTGGAAGCTCATCCAGTCTTGGAGAAACTGAGATCTGTGAACAACTATAACCCCAAGGATTTTGACTGGAATCCCAAACATGGACGAGTTTTCATCATTAAGAGCTACTCCGAGGATGACATCCATCGCTCTATTAAATATTCCATTTGGTGTAGTACCGAGCATGGCAATAAGAGACTGGATGCAGCCTATCGTACGATGAATGGCAAGGGCCCTGTTTACCTCTTGTTTAGCGTTAATGGAAGTGGCCACTTCTGTGGTGTTGCAGAGATGAAGTCGACTGTGGACTACAACACTTGTGCTGGGGTGTGGTCTCAGGACAAGTGGAAAGGACGGTTTGATGTGAGGTGGATATTTGTGAAGGACGTGCCCAATAGTCAACTGCGGCACATTCGCCTGGAAAACAATGAGAATAAACCTGTGACCAACTCCCGAGACACTCAGGAGGTGCCCTTGGAAAAAGCCAAGCAGGTTCTGAAAATTATTGCCAGTTACAAGCATACAACCTCTATCTTTGATGACTTTTCTCATTACGAAAAACGTCAAGAGGAGGAGGAGTGTGTTAAAAAGGTTGGTCCTGCTAAAAAATGTTAATTCGAAGACTGTGATACGCTGAAAATTGTCAACTTTGGAAATCCCTGCAAGCTTTTTGAGTAGTGTTAAGTTTTTTTTTTAAAATAGACAAACATCCTGTTTACTTAAACCCTGTTGGTTCTCATTCTGTCTGAATTGATGGCTAAAAGAATTAGATATATCTAAGTAATGCCACTAGAATTTACGTAAAGGTTATGGAATGGATATGAAATGTTTAATATCCACTTGAATAGTAACTGTTATCCCTGCATTAACATTATAGATTTTGCCCATTCAGGCTTGGCTGGAGTCTGGAAAGCAATTGAGTTGAGAGTAGGCTGAAGTGGTGAGAAAATTCAAGGGAATGAATTCTGGGTGTCACAGAAGTGTATCATACAATAAAAGTATATTGGTTCAAATGTGATTTTTCTTCTCGCTAATAATTAATCAAATAAGATTAGTGAAATACTAACCACTTGCAGAGTTTAATGAATGCTGTGAGTAAGTTTGTTTAAAGGATTGGGATGCAGTTCTTGACCAGATTTAAATATACACTTCCCATGCAAATTTCCCTGAAATGTTTGTGTGCTTTCTATTTTCCCTCCTTTTGTAATATAGGAAAATGTAACGGACCAAGCATTTCAATTGGTTGTAAAGGACATCTGAAATCTCTGGTGATCAGAGACGGTGCAATGGATTAGTCTCTGGGTTTTCACCACTGACGTGAATACTGAAATTGTTGGAAATGCTCAGCAAGTCTGACAGCATCTGTGAAGCGAAGGAAAGAGTTGGTGAAAACCACAGTGCTGCTGTATGGAAAACAAAAAACATTATTTGTACCCTCTAAGTTGGGCACAGTGAAGTGTGTGCTATGCCTGATCAGTTTGTGAGATGCCTGACATTGATTGAATGACATGGGCCATGTCCCATCCCTCAGTTACATGCTTCAAGAGCACCAACAGCTGGATGACTATCTCAATTATAGTAATGCGCTGAGTCAGGCAGTCAAATGCAGATGTTGTAAGCAATTTATTATGGTATCTAAAATGCTGCATCGCAAATTCCATATTCTAAAGGGCAAAGCTGGTCACATGATTGGCATTCCATCCATGCACTTGAATATCTTAAATCTCTGTATTGTGATTGCAGTGTATTATTTACATTGAGGCATTGCGATAAACTCAAAAAGGCTGCTTTGGTGGTACAAATGCATCATTTAGAAGGAGAAGTACATTACGGTGATGGGGCACACTATCACCTCAATGTCACTTGCTGTCCTGACTTGAATGTACATTACTGAGCCAAAATCTGGAATACAGTGTTGCTGGGAGCATCTTTGCTAGATCATATAATCTAATTGTTTAAGGACACTGCCATGTGAGCTTTCTCAAGGTCACTGAGGATGGGCAACAATACTGTCCTTGTCAGAAAAAAAAATGATTACTAAAGTCCAGTTCAAATTGATTAATCAAAAAGGGCTAATCATTTTGGAAAATACTTGAGCGAAATATTTTGAACAAGTTGAAAAAATATTTAGTCTGGGTTATGGCTTTCATGCTCTGGGGCAACTGGTGTTTGCATGCTGTGTGCACATGAGTTAAAATTTTGCACCAAAGCAATACTGCAGCCAGGGGAAAGATGCAGTCAGCTTTGGAAATTTTGGGTAGGTCCAATTTCACATCACAAAGAAAGTGCCCTGCAATTTGAATCAAATGGGTTCTGGTTACAGTGTTATCATGAATAATATCAAACTGCACTGAAAACTATTGTCTGAAAGCTTAGGCTGGGCTGAGGGTTCTTACTTTCAACCTAACCCTTCCTATTCAGGGTTTAAGTGAAGATTTGTAGCTTGGGTGCTGGTTGTAGATGTTGGTGTGTTCACCGAGCTGGGACGTTTGATAGCCGACGTTTTGTTCCCTTACTAGGTGACATCATCAGTGCTGTAGAGCCTCCAATGAAGTGCTGTTGTTTTGTGCTGGTTCAAATTTGTATGGTCTGGTTTTTGCTGCTTCTGGTAGGTGCCTGTTCTGGCTGTGTGTTGTCATGGTCAGTATATCGGGTCTAATTCAATGTGTTTGTTGATGGAGTCTGTGGATGAATGCCAAGCCTCTAAGAATTCCCTGGCTGTCCTCTGTTTGTTTTGTCCAATGATAGTAGTGTTGTCCCAGTTGAAAGTGTAGTCTGTGTGTATTGAAACAAAGGACATCTGGTCGTGTCGTTTAGTTGCTAGCTGGTGTTCGTGGATGCAGGTTGCTAGTTGTCTGCCTGTTGGTCCCACGTAGTATTCTGTGCAGTCTCCGCATGGTGTCTTGTAAACTACATTTGTCCTGTCTATGGTATCTTTTGGGTCTTTAACTCTGTTCAGTTGCTGACTTAGTGTGGCTGCCAGTTCGTGTGCTGTATGATTTCTCGTCTAAGTAGTCTGGCTGTCAGTTCTGAGGTATTTTTTTTTAATATGTGGTTATTGTTTTGGGTTTTGTTGTGTCCTGGTTGTGAGGTCTGTTGGCTTGGCACCTATGGATGAAACTGTGGCGGGGTATCCATTCCTGGTAAAGACCTTGTGGAGGTGTTTTTCTTCCTTGGTTTCAATACACAACAGACAAGAAAAACCACACTTTGAACTGGGACAACACTACTATCCTTGGACTAGCCAAACACAGGACAGCCAGGGAATTCTTGGAGGCTTGGTATTTGTCTGTGGACTCCATCAACAAACACATTGAATTAGACCCGATACACCAATCATGACAACGCACAGCCAGAACAGGCACCTACCAGAAGCAGCAACACCCGGACCATATAAATTTGAACTGGCACAAGACAACAGCAAGACCAACGTCTGCTATCGAACCTCCCAGCTCGGCAAACACACCATCATAACCCTTCCTATGTTGAAATTGAAAAGTTCTTTTTGTGGAAATTGTCCTTTTCCATAGTGCAAACATTGTTCTGAGGTCAGAAGCTTGTGGGTTCAGCCTTCACACCATCGCTGCTAACACTTGTGTTACGTGTGAGGTCACTCTTTGGATGCTTAAGTACCATGACACTGATTAAAGTGTACAAAAGTTGGTCAGTTAGGCCAGTAAATCAATGCAACAATCAGCATTCTTAAAATTGTTCAGTGTTTTGATGTGCTACAGTTCTGTCGAAATGCAAGTATTTGTCACCTTTGTCAGTGTTCACATTTCCTCCAAGAGTTATCCAGCATGGATCATCAATCGAAGTAGGGTGATGTTTGAGTGAAATCATATTTAGAAAGCGTTTTGTGGTGATTCTAATTGAAATAGCTGCTAAAACTCTGCTCAGCCCTGTGTACCTTTTTATAAAGAACCTGATGTTTACTTTTCAGAGCAGAGTTTGATAAGTGTTTCAGTCACTTAGCAAGCGAATAATCTAAAATGTGCCCTTGCTTCATTTGTCTGTTTTGTAATCACTTGCGTTCTGCACCTTTTCCAATTACTTAATTTTTTTCACTTGATTGCCATTCTTCTGTATTTGTGAACACCTTAAAACTATAAGAATCTCTACTGTTGAGAGCCTATTTAAGAATAAAATATCATCCTCCTTGAGACTTGTAAATAAATTTCAGCACGTGTTACATAAGGACACACGAGCAATGCATCTGAAGCTTAACCTCATGTTCCTGTGTATTGGGACTGCCATTTGCCATACAAACCACCAGCTCTTCTGTGAGAATACTGTAGTTTTTGCTCAAAATTGAAACTAGTTTAAAATTACTTTTGTGCAGTTGCCTCCTTCACAACTAGGAGACTTTAATCGTCTGATTTGAAACCAAAGGCAAGCCTTTCAGATGAGAGGTTAAACCAAGGCCCCATTTAGAACTAGTTTAGGGTTGACTCCCCTGGTGTTTCTTTAACATCCTGATCAATACTTGTACACCAGTCAACATCACAAAAACAGTTAGTGGCTCATCAACTTACTTTTTGTGGAAGCTTGCTGTATGCAAAATAATGGTCACTTTCCTATGGTGTAAAAATGACTACTTCAAAAGTACTTAATTTATTGTAAAGCAGTTTGCAGTTCCTGCGATTGCATGATTTGGAAATGTAGGTCTGAGATTGTCTTTTCCGAGAACCAACTTGGCTTCTTAAGCTGAAATTCTTTTTAGGCTGATGAATTTAAATTTTCAGAGAATTCTAAGCTGTGATCCTGATTTGCAAATCCTCTACAGTTGCTGTGGCTGTCAATTCTAGGTTTTCCTGATTTTTCTGTCACCCTGTCCAATAGGCTGCTTCAGCACCACCTTGGAAGTCATTTGTACATCTTCTTGGATAGAGGACTGAAGAAATTAAACAAATTAACTATTTATACAGTGACCGGTCATGTCAGGACATCCCAAAACAATGTGGTCCTATCCATAGTAACTTGTTTTAATATTCTTCTTTTGCTTCCAAATATAAATTTGAGACCTTGAGAATTCCATTGGCATTGCATATATTCAAGAGTCTTGCCAATCTGGTGTCCATTTAAATCACCTGTTGCACTTATTTCACCAAACCTTTTCTGTAATCTGTGTAAGCACATGATACAAACAACCATTTCTTTATAAAATAAATCGAGTGCTAACAGCGAAGTTGGGCATTAGGCCTGCTGAAAACTGAAAATGCAGCTGCATGCACTAACTGAATACTGCAAAGGTACAAATGAGTAAACAAAACAAGGGGAATATTTCTGCTGCAACAGAGAAATAATGTCCTCTTGTTTTCTTAAGAATTACTTGATTAATGGCCTGAAATTTTTAAATATGTTGTGCACTCCTGAGCCCAAATAAGCCCTTGAAGAAAGAAGATGGTACAATTAGTGATTACTATCTCTGCCTTGGGAAAAAATAAAATGCTGACTTGCTAATTAGTTACTGTGGTACATTGAGTATCTTGTAATGGAGTTTGTGTGGAGCTGGAGGTTAAATTTTACAGGACTCAATCCTAAAGTATTAGAATTCTTGAGGAACTTGTGCCTGTGAGAATAATATGCTG